TGATTCCAAGGAACAATCGTTACTTTTGCATTGAGTTGACATAAAATTCGTAATTGATTATTTTTAAGTCCACAGTCAATACAAACAATAGATATTTTTCCTGTTGGATTAAAGACACGTGAATTCTAATAATTCAACAAAATAATGAAATAATTAAAACGATTAAAGATCTTTTTTAATGAAATTGAATCTTGTGTTATAAGATCAATTCTATTTTGATCTTGAAATGGAATTAATTGTGGATTAGTTGCGTCTATAAGAATGTATTTATAATTAATTCAATGAAAAAAACACAAAAAAATGAAGATTACACTTCTCCAAACATTCTTTTATCTGGAACAAGATTTATATCTTGAATACATGTATCAGCGAACATTTTGGAAAAGTGAATAAATTATATGTAGAAAAAAAAGCGCATGAATAAGATTAGAATTTTAATCGTTATAAAATATTGATGGTGATCTCTGTGAATTTAATTGAAAATCGTCTTTTTTGGATTCATAAGTAAAATAAAGATAATCTGTTTTAGGTGACCTTTCACCAAAAACATTATCAATTTGTTTAAGAAATGGTCGAATATGGAATTCCTCACGACATGCACGAACTTCAATTTCAGTACAATTTGAATATTTACTAATTTGTTTATCGGAAAAACCTAAACGTTTTGCTCGAAGTAAAAGTAGTGGATCTTGAGTAATAGATGAATCTGAATGCTGACGAATAAATTGAATAATTGATGCGTATTTATGAAGAAACCATTGATCGATCTTTGTTAATTGAAATAAACGCTCGATTGTATAACCCTGGCGAAGAGCTGTAGCTAATATAAAAATACGTTCATCGGTTGAAGTACTTATTTTCTATAATAAGATATGTAAAAACGAATCCGACGTATTCTTTAATTAATGTTACATAATCTGTAATTGTTTCTGAATATGGATCAAAACCAGTTATATGTTTATCAAACTTCCTTAAAGCTTTTTGAAAAGCTTCTTCAAATGATCTACCAATAGATATAATTTCATGAGCACTTTTCACTAGAGTGAATTAAAATAAATATCTAATAATTAAAATAATCATCATTTACCAGAACTTTCCATGAAATTGAAATCTCTAATAATTTTTTGTAAATCCAATCTTGGAACTTTAATTGCAACATAATCGACATTTGGTTCTATAGAAGCATATGTTTCATGTAGAATAGTATCTTCTAATTCAACTAAACTTATTCCAAGCACAACTTTAGATATTACATATGCTAATGGATAGCCCGTTGCTTGTGATGCAAATACAGATGAACAAGTTAATCGTGGATGTACTCTAATTATATAATATTCACTACATAATGGATTTAATGCAAATTGTATATTAAATTGACCAACAATATTCAAATAACGAGCAACTTTCATTGATACATTTCGTAATAAATAAAATTCATCATTTGATAATGTTTGACTTGGCATAACAATGATTGAGTCGCCAGTACGAACTGCTAATGGATCAAGATATTCCATATTACATACCATAATACAATTATCATATTGATCTCGAACAACTTCATATTCAACTTTTTTCCAACCTTGAACTGATTTACGAATTAATAATTGAGATGAATCAGCAAAGATTGAAGTAACCAAAGAAATTAATTGTTCACGATTATTGGCAATATCTTGTCGCAAACTAGTACTTGATTCAGTAGCACTAAACAGAACGATTGTTCGAAAGCAGTATTCACAATATTTACATACCGAACATAAACTGGATAACCAAGTCGTTCAGCTGATATCAGTGTCTAAAATAGATCATTAGAGATTGTGTTTAAAATCTGTTTGATCAAACCTCTTCAAGAGAATTAGCAGCTTCATATGATACAACTTTTTCTCCAATATCAGTGATCGTTTTTGTAAATAAACAATTATCTTGAGTAATTTCAATTGATTCAATCGGTGTTCTATTGACATTATCAATGAAAAAAAAGATGCAAGTCCATATATGAACACATTCTACTCACCCTAATATATTACATCGATATTTCTTAAAAATACTTTGTGCACATAGTTTTACAGCAGAACGTAACGCGGTTTGCCCTCCAAAACTGATTAAGATACCATTCGGTTTCGATACTTCGATATTCCATTCAACAGTGGCTATATGCAAACCAACGTCTACTACTTGATTGAGATCATCAGCCGACTTTTCATATGGAGCTGCGGCTGGATTCAACAAAACAGTTTTTATTTGTTCTTCGTTGAGTGCATCGATTAGTTGTCTTTCTTTAAAATCAAAAACGAATTTTTACGATATTTATGAAAATCTAACTCATCTACCTAAGAAATCAAGTCCAATTGGTTCTTCTTCAATTAAACGACCATTTCCTAATATCAATATTTTATTAATTTTATTAGAAATTGCTTCTGATGGTGCATTAGCAATGCTACAACATTTAGTTAATTGTTCGATTAAATACGATCTAACATTGATGGTTGGATTTACTTTATATGATTGAACAATATCAAGAAATATTTGAAATAAATTTTCTGTATCGCGTGGTCCAGCACAATGGTCTGGATTAAACTGAACACTAAAAAATGGTTTAAAATCATGAACGATGCCTTCATTTGATTGATCATTTTGATTTCTAAATAAAATACTCCAATCTTTAGCTAAACCTTCTAATGTTTCAACAGTAAAACCATGATTTTCTGATGTAATAAAACAACGTTGAGTCCCTTCTAATATACATGACTACAAAATATAAAAATAAATATTATTACAAATTCGAAGATAACGTTATCAAAGCCATACTTGATTATGACCTCGATGCCCATATTTAAGCTTCATTATTTTCATTCCAACAGCTAAAGCCATTAACTAAAAATCAATTCGTTTAACGAAAAGAAGAAATTTATTTAAAATTTTTACTTGATGACCAAGACCAATACCAAAGA